GAGCGGTTGATTGTTAACGCCGGATGAAAATAGAATCAGCATTCGACAAAGAGAGAGAGAAAGAGTTGGCGAATTGCCGAGATTCGATTTGCTCGAATTACAGCAATACCGCGGGCAATCAGTAGGTCTGGCCTTACGAAGGAGAACGATTACGTTACACAATGTGTGGGTTGTTTAGCTACCACCGCTTGGGTGAAGGCTCAAAGTATCGGGATAATGTCATAGCGAAAGATATTTGTTCACACAATTGTTCATTAGATACGGTATTAAATACAGTATTTTATGTAATAATTCTGGCGCGTGATGGTTAAAGGTTGAAAAGTATGAACGCGTGAAAGATGCACAATTAGATTAAATGCCAGGGAGAAATAAAATTCAATGATTAAAGCTAAAATAAAGGTGTCTGTTGAAAAAATAGAAAGCTTTTTTTGTGATATTAAAGTGGAAAATTATTTACGAGTTGATAGTCTAAAAAGTCTAAAAGCATGCATTACGTGCAGCATTAAAAATATCAGGATTTGGATTCAGAAATAACACGTATGTGAAAAACTAAAAAAACAAAGAAAAGAGTGTAAATAAAAAGATATTTCGGATCGGCAGATTGCGTAAGATTTTTTGGGATAGCCATGAGCACAGAGAGTAGGACGCGTCAGAGAGCGAGTAAATAAACCGTGACATCGAGGAAACGAGAGCGGAGCTCTAGCAACTTTGGTACGTACTCTTTCGATTCGGCCGATCGAGTGAGAGAAAATGTGGGTAGGACTTGTCCGGGTTTGACTAATGACTGAGTTTGCTCATCGTTCGCACATTTCGCTACGTCGTTGTTGAATACACGCACTAGTTGCGCGATGACGTCAGTCCCTTATCACTCGCAGATACAGACAGGATAATCGAATCCACGAGATACCGCGGAATTTACATGCTAACTCGCCAATAGCAACGAAAGCATAGACTAGTAAAATATTTTAGATTAGAAAAATATATGAAACTAAAACATATTTTAGATCGAACATATTTTTATAGTGTAAAATATGTTCGATATGTTCGATAAGGAAAAAAGAAAAAAGAAGGAATATATTTTCATTATATCTATATATTTAGGGAAATTTGTTTAAATTCTTGTCCTGATTCTGAAATATATTTGTCTAACGTAGAAAATATTGTTTTTAGGCATCGACGATCGATGGCCGTCGAAAGGGCGCCTGCCTCTTTTGTCAGGAGTATTTTATGGACTTGTATCTTCTGGCGGAGCTGAAGACGATTTCTCTGAAGGTGACCACCGTGGATATGCAAAAGCCACCACCCGATTTCCGCACCAATTTCCAGGCCACCCCGCCGCCCATCTTGATCGACAACGGCGACGCGATATTGGAGAACGAGAAGATCGAACGACACATCATGAAGAATATCCCAGGCGGGCATAATCTGTTCATACAGGATAAGGAAGTGGCCACTCTCGTGGAAAACTTGTTTAGCGTAAATGTCAATTAATCAGAATCGAAAGTGAAATCGATCGAGAAATCAAACTGTCGAATTATATTTCTCTTTTTCTGGCGGGGCGATAAATTACATGTGTCGATTGCAGAAACTCAAGCTGTTGCTGTTGAACGCGAAGGATAAGGACAAGGATCCCAAGTCCTCGTCGCTGATGGCGCATCTACGTAAGATTGATGAACATCTGGGTCGCAAGGGCACGCGCTTCCTCACCGGCGATACCATGTGCTGCTTCGACTGCGAGCTGATGCCGCGACTGCAGCACATCAGGGTCGCCGGCAAGTATTTTGCCGACTTCGAGATACCGGAGACTCTGGTGCACTTGTGGCGGTACATGCATCACATGTACAGGCTCGACGCTTTTCTACAGAGCTGCCCGGCCGATCAGGATATCATTAACCACTACAAACTGCAACAGGTGAGGCGAGTGGGTCGACCTCTAATTGCATACGAGTTGTCGGTTGAATTGAATAATTAGTACTCTTCGACACACAAATGCTTTTAATTTGCATCCACGCTTTTCGCGATGACGCAATTATTACATTCGCTGTGCGATAAACTACGATTTTCTCACGTCTACCGATATAATTAAAACAAATTTCCGATAATCATTGCAGAGTATGAAAATGAAGAAACATGAAGAGTTGGAGACGCCGACCTTCACCACGAGTATCCCAATCGAGGTCAACGATGATTAGGCTGGACCTTCTTCGAGTCTGCGATCGCGTGACTTTGATTAGACATCGAGATCGAGACTTATAGCGAAACGGCGAATCACCTTGACAGAGTTTCAATGGCGCGCGCATTTTGTAATTTAATATTCATCATTAGTATCTTGAAAACAAACAGGAATTTTTCCATTGGAACTCGTGTCTTTCCAGCTGCTAGCTCGTGTCGTCGCCGCATCATTGATAGATTCATATCTTTTTGCTAAGTAATCGTTGCTGGATCTAATCCCTTTTTCGGGATCAAGTCAAATGTAAACAGATTAGCTTTTTTACCGCAAACGACGCGACAACATATATAAGTGCATTAAGACTTTGAAAGTCTTAGTATCGATAGATTATCGATTTTCTTCATTTTTCTTCTTTCTTTTTTTCCCCACTATGTATGGCATACATACATAGTTTTGACCTGAGTAGTATTAGCAAGATTTTATTTTGCTATTATTGATTCAAGGATTAAGTTGATTAGCAGAAGCTATCATGATTTTGCCATTTTCTAACGGCAACAATCATGGAAACTAATACCAAGGATGCAAAAGAAACGTATGCGTTCGAGGGAGCTAAATTGGGTGCCATTATATTTTTGCAATTTTAATAAAAGTTATCCCTTTAAATAATTATTCCGATCATTATTTCTAGGCATTATTCTTACGTAAGATAAAACGTAAGTAAAGTTGGGAAGAGATATAGAAAATATTTGAGAAATAAAATGTTTTCAATATCATTTTTGAGTTTGTGCGTATAACTATTGTTTTTATATGATAAATATATTAAATATTTCTCATCATCATCGCTACTACCATTTAAGCATGCAATCGAAACATTTGCATTTAATGAGAAGGATATAAAAGGATAAAGGAGTTCAGAATCATAAATTTGTTTAATCGCGGCTTCATTTTCTTAAACGCTATTGCACGACCAACACATATTATCGATATACGTAGAAGAATAAACGTTTCGCTATATCTCTCGCGAGATATGTAATCCAGAGTGCGTACGTTTCTTCTGGATTCCGCAGTATAGGTATCTTGTTATATTCCCGTTTCATTGTTAGCACTTTTATCGATTTTTACAAACGAAGAAAGAGTATATATCGCGCAAGTGTAACTCCGACATTTCTCGAGTCGAAAGCATTTAAAATAACGGCATCCAGGAGCATCGACTCTGCTTATTTCCGCACTAATACACAATCCACTGTTCCAGAAAACAGAAAACGAGCGATTTTATATTTGTAAGCAACTGTCTATTTCCGCAATAGTAATTCTATTATTATTATTATTACTATTATTATATTACTATTGTATTATTAATTTTGGTTTATATATCTATAAAAATCAATATACCAGTGTTTACATTTAGCGCCTAATATCCCATCATTTATTACGGTAAGAATATACGATGTAAGTTAAGTTCTTATATCTATAATGTTATTTTTATATGACCTCTGGACGTTAAATTTTTTTCTGTTAAATATATGTGTGATATTAATGTTTTATATTTCGTGGCGATATAGATAGAGAGTAATTAATCATACAAAGTTTTTATTCAGTATAATGTTATTTATAAGTAAGCATCGCGTTTTAGAAGATGATTAAAAATTAAAGTTAACAATATACAGCAAATGTAAAGTAAATTTAAAAAGCTCCAAAATTGTGTCATCTTCACAATTATGAGAGATAAAAAGACCAAGCATTATTCTAGTATAAGGTATCATTTAATTTTTGTGTGAATTTTTCGATTTCTGATAATTTTAATTTTCCTGATTTACTATCATAATTATCGGCATAATTTTTTTCCCGCGAAAGAGGATCGGCCGACTCGAAGCCGAGAGATTCGAGCGGAACTAGATACGAGAGATATGACGAAAAAAAAAGAAAGACGACCGTATCCGTTGCGCGTCGGTGTGTCCACCGTCTCGTACACGCTTTAAAATAGCACGCCCCGCCGTCCCTTCCCCTCGTGTGGCGAGCTATTATGACGCGTCTCCCATTCATAAATAGGGACGGCGCTTATCGGCGCGACGGCCATCTTGACTACGCGATCGCGTGAGTTTCCATCGCGATTCGCGCCGTCGTCGCCGCCCGCGATCGTCCTGCTCGCGAAAAATCAGCGAGACATTATTCGCGCGGGGGTCGATCGAATCGCGCGCGCGATTGTCGCGGGTCGACTCGAAACGGAAGTCGCGGCGAGCAGCGCGGTAGTCGGTACGCAGTGCACAGCTGATCAGTGGCCCCGACGGACGGTAGCCGTTCGGCTCGTCGAGAGCCTGCCCGACGCGAGGAGAAACGCGAAGGAGTGCGAGAAAGATAGGAGACGGGACGAGACGTGACGGAAAGGCCGGTGCGGAACGGCCGCGATCGTGTACAGCGGTGACAGGTGAAAGCTCCGAGAGACGAAGAAAGGGTACGAGTTCCGATAAAGCGCGCGGATCCAAAACGATTCAGGTGCTCCGGTCCCTTCCTTCTGCCGAGGAGGCGTAGGTGTTCGCGGTGACGAGGGAAGGAAGAAAGGAGGTGGTGCCCAAGAACGTCGCAGCCCGCTCGTCGGACGTTTCCGATGGTTGCCGTCCGGTAAGTGTCGAGATTGCCGATCAAGAATTTGGGGTCTGAAAATTCGACGCTCTAAGATCGTCGTCGTCGTCGTCGTCATCAACGACGTGGACGACGACGGCGTCGCTCGCGAGAAAGAGGGGAAGAGGAAGGTGCGCGGTGCGGAGCGCACTCTGACTTTTACTCGGATACCCCCGCGCGGTCACGAAAATACACCTGCAATGGAATGCATCGGATGGATACACGCCGCAACAACAATGCGCGTCCGAGAAGATTCGCCCATCGTTCGTTTCGGTTTATCGGTTACGCGTTTGCGTCCCTCCCGCTTTCCTCTCCTCCGATGTATTGGAAATATGTGTGTGTATGTATGTGCATATATTTATTTCTCTTATTTTTAATATAAAAAGCATAGCGTAGAAATAGGTTTAGCGCGAAACTTATGATAGGGCTATCTTTAATAACGCGTCCACGCCGATGCCCTGCGTAAATGCGGAAAAATATTCATCCAAGTCATACCAAAGTCATCAGTTTCAATCAGTTACGCAAACAATTTATAGAGATAATTTATCACGAGCCCAAAGGCCGATACTCGCGTTGTAAGTTTTCGCGCGCATAGGTTAAGAATTGTGCGTGTAAAAACAAAAGACGCGAGCGTAAACAAGCCGGGAGCGGGAGGGCTTCATTTAATTATTTAATACATCAATCGATCGATTAACGAATAATAATAATAATAATATAATAACAATAATATTATAATTTATTTCTTTTCTTTGGAAATAAAAATTGAATTTTGCAATATTTCCGAAATATTAATGTCATGTTGCTACAAGTGTGCTGGTACTTTGTGGCTCTATATTTCTGCAATGTCTTTGTAATGTTGCATTGCAATTTGCAACATTGCAATGTTGCTGCAATATAATTGCAATGATCTGTGCTGTATGGGTACAAATGGAATTGTCAGATAAATTATAGTCATTTTTGTATGCACAGACAAGAATGACAGATAGGATTTTCTATAAAATAGTAGGATTTTTATTTTTTCGAAATATCGCATAAATTTGAATCGTAAGGCACGAAATAATACGTATGCCCTCTCTTTGACTAACTCTGTTTGACTAACGATAAGGGATGGAAAAGCGGAGGCGAAGTGTGTATTAGTTGTACAACAGTGCAGTCGGCCTGTATCACTGCATCAATTTAACGTTCTGCCATAAAACAAATGTATCGCGTGCCTGTCATAACAAGCTCGCGGTGAAGCGTTACATCTCTCGCTGCGTCGGTTTATTTAAAGTCGGAGTACATACTAGCGACGATTGGCCAACGGGGCCAGGTGCTCATCTCCTGCGATTGAGACGTCCTGGGGCGCCGATTGATACGTCGCGGCGTGTTGAACTTGGAGTGAATCTGATCGCCAAATTAAATCTCAATATCAATTACACACAAATCTAATACGTATAATATACCGTAAAAATGCTTTGATCAAAAAAAGAGCATAGAATTCTAAATTTCTGTTAAAAAAGAAATTTTTTAGCAGAACTCAGTTTCAATTTCATCCTTTTATCGATATCTTGATAACATTCTAATATTCTATAGTCGATATTAATTTGAAATATCGAAAACGATAATTTTGATACTATTATTTATCTCAATTTTTTGTATTATTGTTTTTTTTTTTTTTTAATATTTGCGATAAAAAATCCATTAAAATTCCAACAATTCAGGAATTTAATAAATTCAATAAACTTGATTTTGAATTACGTAGATTTAATCTAAACCTAATAAAATAATCTGACAAAGTATAATTTTTTTCGCGAGAGTCTTTTATTCTTAATACAGCCTCGAGCAAGGAAAGAAATAATTTTCGTTTTATCTCCGCGAAATGATTGACAAAGTGCAAACAAATTAGTCTTTAATCTCGCTGAGCAATTTCGCTTAATGGTTCAATTAGGATAAGCTTGCAAATACCTGGAATACTCGCGATGGTGAAAGTTTTCGTCGGGACGTAATTGCATGTTGTGTATTGTGGGAATTTGGATTTAAAAGCCAACAATGTTTATATTTAAACGGAAGAGTCGCTCGAAGAATCGATATCGACTTTTACAATCGATTAACGATTTATGCCTGTACACACAGAAAAATACATACTATATACAAGTAAATATTACTTGTTTCAAGTATTTCATAAGTTCATATATCCGCAAATCTATGATAAGTTTGTCATAAGCATCAAATTTATTCAAAATATATTCTGAATCCTAATAAATTTAATATTTCAATCAAGAATATTAAATTATATAATTGAAAGAAATACATTAAATTTTTCTCATCTAATAAATTTTCTTACATTAAATTAACCATATCTGACTTTTCTTCGATAAAATTTTATAATATTCTTCAAAAGAAAATATTTACTTTTTTTGAGTACATGATAATGAGTATTTCTAAAATTTGTGACAAGTCTATTTTAAGACTATTATTAAGAAAATATTCTTTGTTAAAGATAACTGTTACTTAAAAGAAGTAAAGTAAACTGAGTAATCATTTTACTTAGCAATAGAATAATATTTTTCTGTGTGTAATTATGAAGGTGATTGGAATTCACATAGTTTATTTTTGAGATAATTAAATTATTTCTTTTGCGTTTTTTGACGCATTAAAAATGCCTTCTAATTAAATTAAATTAATTCACTGAATCACGTTAGATTTAATATTTTAAATAAATTTAATATTTAATTAATTTAATAATTATAGAGACATACATATATCAGAGAGATGTCCAGAGAATTTGTGACTGGCAACATTTACAGATTTAAGATGACGATGGCGGTTTCGCGGGTTTTCGCGTGAGAGGGAAAAAGTATGATATTGTTTTTAAGTATGGATGTCGTTTATTTTTGCCGCGCGACTTATCGTACGACTCTGGTTAACGTTAACGGTGCGTCTCACCCGTCAATTATTATTCCTGGTTCCTTATTTTTGTCTGGTGGCCCGACCGACTTGACGCCCCCGACATACGTTAAACTCCGCGAAGCGGATTAGTTTTTGTCGTGTCCGATTTACATCGGTCGTCGAAGTAGCGTCGCGATGTCGAATTGTCATCGACTCTCCGGTCTTTCAACACCCTTTTAACTATCGCGACACAATTTCGAATCAATGGATAATGATATTAAATTTATAAAATTCACATCTCGATATATTTGTAAAAAAAAATAGACACTTTATAGCCTTAGAATAGACTCACGAAGCCCGCCACGACTCTGACTTGCAATCCACAGTTCATTACGTTCGTACGTTACTGTGCTAATGAAAAGTTATTACGTGCAATTAGCTCCCAGGACCGTTCGCGAAGCAACAGGTGCCGGACAGGCGTGCACTTTGTAATTTTAAAGACTCATCGTGCAATTCGTCACGTAATATTCGCGGGGATAAAAAGCAACCGTATCGTTGTCGTTCCGTTTAATTCGCGTGGAGAGAGGCTTCCGTTCTTCTCTCCGCACTTAATTACGCGGTCGTGACGCGGGAATTGTCTCTTTTCGCGACACCTGCGCGAAAATAATCCTCGATAGTTGGCGCTTTCGGGGTTGTAGGAACGCTCGGCCTCGGATTTCGTCGAAGAGGCGGATTTCCGCGGCGCTTAAAAATAATTCCGCGGAGAATAAAAGAAAAGGAAAGGTGCGGTGTGGAAATACCGAGCGGAATCCACCGCTTTTCCTCGAGTTTCTACACAGAGCCAGACGAAAACAGCCGCGCTGCGCGTGTCTCCTCGGTATTTCATGACACAAATATCTTCTCGGCAGCCTGGAATTCCGCTTTTCCTTTTTCGCTTGTCCCGACGCGAACGACGCTTTCGTTTCTCCTCTTAAAACGTCCCCGTCGCCGACAAACGTCTCGACTTTCCGCGATAGAGTGTGTCCCTATTTTTCTGTCAATAAGGGAACTTTCTTTGTCAGCCGCAATTTTATCTTCTTATCGGAAGTGTCAAGTATTCCAACTGTAATATATTTCCCTTTATCAGGGTGTCTACTCCCTGGAAAAATATGGAAAACCTGGAATTCTCATCAGGAAATCTTTTTTGTACCTGGAAAAATCAGGGAATTCTCATGGAATTTTATTGGGAGTCAGGGAATCTTTTAAAAAAATTCTGTCTGATAATTTTGCTTCTGCAATCCTACTGTAAGCAGTAAGGCAATCCGCCAATAAGCCAAGTTGAGAATTATGTGTTTAATGTATTATAAATATATATCTATATCTCTGTTTATATATTGTCTTAACAAAATATTGAATATGCAGTTCATATTCTTTATTTTAATTTTTAGTGATAAAAAATGAAAATGTTATCAAGTTAAAAATTTTTATCTTAACGAAAACTATCAAGTTTTTTTTTCAGTACATTTGTAAATCTAGCACTTGAAACTTAAGTGGTTTTGAAACGTCTCGACTTTCCGCGATAGAGTGTGTCCCTATTTTTCTGTCAATAAGGGAACTTTCTTTGTCAGCCGCAATTTTATCTTCTTATCGGAAGTGTCAAGTATTCCAACTGTAATATATTTCCCTTTATCAGGGTGTCTACTCCCTGGAAAAATATGGAAAACCTGGAATTCTCATCAGGAAATCTTTTTTGTACCTGGAAAAATCAGGGAATTCTCATGGAATTTTATTGGGAGTCAGGGAATCTTTTAAAAAAATTCTGTCTGATAATTTTGCTTCTGCAATCCTACTGTAAGCAGTAAGGCAATCCGCCAATAAGCCAAGTTGAGAATTATGTGTTTAATGTATTATAAATATATATCTATATCTCTGTTTATATATTGTCTTAACAAAATATTGAATATGCAGTTCATATTCTTTATTTTAATTTTTAGTGATAAAAAATGAAAATGTTATCAAGTTAAAAATTTTTATCTTAACGAAAACTATCAAGTTTTTTTTTCAGTACATTTGTAAATCTAGCACTTGAAACTTAAGTTGGTTTGCGTTTTCCCTTTGTATGAATGAAAAGCATTAGAAAATGCGTGCAAAAA